TTTGATTTTTCAATTCTTCAGTATATTAAAAAATAAGCAATGTTCGTTACCCTTTACCTTTTCAGATCTAATACCAGTTAATATTGACATGTGAATGTTGGAGTGAGCCATACAAAACCATTCAGACACAGCTGTGTGGACTGATTAGCTTTTGTTTTAATCTGTCTCCGACAGGCATCAGCTAAGCAGTGAGTAAAAACCAGGAAAAACACATAAAGTAACAGCTTTCTTCACATCCTGACTCCACCTCACGACATATGTTAAAGGGGCAGGCTACTCCTATATGGAGTCAAGATGACATCATCCCTCACACTAATGTATGTATCTGACTAAAAGCCTCCTGAGTCTGAGACCCTGATCAAGAGGCCCACAACCCAGTCTGCACATAAAATCATCAGTTAAGTCAGAGATAACCACATTATAAAAATATATTACTGTTCACCTAATAAAAGACTATACAATGTGTAGTGTCAATAAATCAGTAGTAAACAACTCCAATAAATTTCTTCAATTAAGTAATTCATCACAAGCTTAATTAGGAAATCCCAGATAGCAAGAAACAATAGTGCTGAGATCAAGTATTCACCTAAGCAAACTATTATTATAGACAAATATCCTGAGCCTGGTYCTGCTGGAGGTTTCTTCCTGATTAGCAGGGAGTTTTTCCTYTCCACCRTTTGCTCAGGATGGGAGACTGTGATGAAGTGATTCAACRCARYCTGCTGGTTTCTTCTTTAGATTGTTATTTTTTATGTACAGTGTCCTGAGACAATGTATGTTGTGACTTGGCGCTATATAAATAAACTGAACTGAATTGAATTGAACTGAAATATGCATGGAATGCTRTGAACACTTTTAAATTAAGTCAAACAAATGGAAAATGTCCCATTGGTTTACATGAAGGGGCAGGGTTTAAATTGTATYGCAGCTAGCCACTAGTATTTGAATATTAGACATTTTTTATGTTGTTATGGAAATATTTATTTAACAAAGACAGAAATACAGTACGTGGTCCAAGAATGAAGGTACTCTATGGAATGATCAGCTGAGTTTTATTTGCAACAACAGGAAACACAGAGAACAACATAGAGCCATCAGACTGTCCTCCTGCTCTCTGCTCCTGCTTCTGATGCAGTTAAGGCCTCATATATACTGTTTAACAAACACTATTATGTCATCTTAATAGAGCAAGATTTCATCCTAGGTCAAGGGAAAAWACAAAGATAAACACAAGTGATATCTAAGAATGACTGTTGTTAACAAAYCTTGTTCTGACTTTAATCATTCTACTGTATCTGTAGATGAACAGCATGTCATGAAAACTTAGGTCATTAAAGCATGTCATGAATTACCGGCTTAAACCTAAAAGTATTAGTTCCATCACATATGTAATTTATTTTTTAAGACATGTTTTTTTAAGCTTAAAAAACATTTAACAAACRAGCCCTGAAGACTTTGTCTCCACACACTTTGACTGATGTCCCAGCTGTTAACTTTTGATAACTATTAGGCAGAAGATTAGTTCAAAGATGACTAGATTGTCCCTTTAAACAGAAGTGTGTGTTTTACAGGGTTATTATGGTCTGCACAGTTCTGGATGTTCACTTACAGTACAGGATCTCGTAGTCTCCTGAATTGGACATGATGTACCTCCCGTCTTTGGACCAATCAAGATGAGTTATGAAGCTGGAGTGTCCCTGATTGAACAGGTAAAAACAGAAAAAGAAATCAAACTGGAGAAAAGGATTCTTCATACTACATAACACCAAACACTTTTTACAGCTTTATTCCTTTTGTATTTCTGTGGACATGAGGAGGTCTCCTGTCTCCACCTGGTACCTGCCTCTGCAGTCGTGTTAAAGTACTGCAGTCGTGGTAAAGTACTGCAGTAAACCTCTGAGATCAATAACAACAGATCTGGACCAGTTTTATAATCACTTGTAACCGTGGTGACAACCTGTGCCCTTTCCTTTTGTTATAAAGAACATAGACGCATGTAGGGAAGAAATGTAACAAATACAGAAACCTGTGTTTTAACTCACGTTACACTTCCCAAACCGACTGTAGCGGCGGCCGCTCTCTGTTACGCTGTAGATATAGATGAAGTTGTCGTGAGAGCCGACAGCTAAGAAGCTTCCATCTGAAGAGAAAAGCAACATTTAGACACAATCACACATTGGACGGAGGTGTCTGAAATCAGCAGATATCCTGGGAGGTTTTGGACCAACTGTCCACCTACGGTTACACAAGCACTTCTAAACAGTGCTGTGACTTATTAAAAAGTGTCTGATTATCGGACGATAAAGCCACAGCAGCCTAAGCTGTGTGCTGACGTGTGAGGAACACACTGCACAGACATGGACCCAATAGAGTGAGGCTTGACAATGGAGGTGGGGCTTAAAGGAAACATACTACAGASAAGACAATAGTCTGCTCTGAACCAGGCAAGAACTGGCGCTGGGGAGACCAAAACCACTTTGGTTAAACGGGGGCTCGCCAGGAATGCAACCTGTGAATGTGGTCACCAAACATGGACAATCTTTTAACATCCTGCACCTTAAGCCTGGAACATCTGACACCTGCAGACCTCTGTCAGGTCACCAACAGAGCCAAGAAATGACTGTCTTTACGGGTTGACACGATGATGATAATGATGATGATGATGATGAGCAGGAGGTTCTCCAGCCTGGCTCAGAACATCTGTGTTCAGACTACCCAACTATGCAGCTCAGACTACATCTGAAGGTGGTCTGAGAAGTTCAGACCCAGACAGCTCACGACAGACTTATAAGGACTAAACATGCTCTTCAAAGATCATAACACTGGGACTGACCTGGTGAGTATCTCATGACAGACAGCTGCTCATTTCCATCAATGGACTCATAGACCACCTTCCTGGTCAGCAGGTCAAGGACAACCCACCTGTAAAGGTGATTCACAAATGTGTTCAATAACAGAAAACATTATGTGGTTACACAGAAAAACTTCTTTTTATGGAGGTTGTGTCTGTGTTACAGTATGTAATGTATTTTACAGTATTACAGATTAATGTATTTTACATTATTACAGACTAATGTATTTTACAGATTATAATGTATTTTACAGTATTAGAGACTAATGTATTTTACAGATTATAATGTATTTTACAGGGACCTGGGTGTGTTGACCTGTGTGTTCAGTTAGTTTAGCTTCAGCAGGTTTACAGTGAATGTAGATGCAGCGACTCACCTGCCTGTGCTGAGGCCGACTGAAACTACTGACCCGTTTGGGCAGAAATCAGCACACAACCCATATTCCTGCAGAGGAAATTATTCCAAATTAAATGCTTCCTTTTTAAAATGAATGCACCTTGTTTGTAAATATGAACCCCAGTTCTATAAAGTAAAGATATTTTCTAAAATGCAACAGAAAATCAAGTCTTCATTGTTCTCTTGTAAATATTCGTGTTCCTTGTTTTTACAGACAATTTTAAAGTTATCGACAAAACAAAATATAAAACCACACCAACTGAAAACTCTTCAATCATGTTAATAAGTCAATAAGTTACAAGCAACAAATAAAATCTTAATCTGATTTCCTCCTGATGTTTTATTTCTGACTCTGAGCAGAAAGYCTTACCTCCAGCGTTATACACCAGTCCAGCTTGTGTTCCACAGTGTTCCACAAACACACCTGTCTGTCATGACCACAGGTGAGGAATATGTTGTGGGAGGGATGAGTGGCCAAACCCCACATTTCATCTACATGTCCCTGGGACAGAGAATGACAAACATCAGGATGTACAGCTGTGTCTATGGAAAACTCACACCATCTCTATGATATTTATCAGTAAGTACATAAATATTCTTGTTGCACCTGTTTTGATTTCATTACATGGAAGAAAACTGAAGAAAACTTATCTTGATCTTAATTCACTGAGAAATTAATCTGTACAACAAGCAGCAATGTTCAGTATTATAATAACACTGTATTAATTAAATGGTAAATGGACTGAACTTATAGAGTGCTTTATCAAGTCCCTCTGGACCCCAAAATGCTTTACACTTACAGACATTCACCMATTCACACTCACATTCACACACTGATGATGGTAAGTTACGTTGTAGCCACAGCTGCCCTGGGACACACTGACAGAGGCGGGGCTGCCAWGCACCGGCGCCACCGGACCCTCTGACCACCATCGGTAGGCAAGGCAGGTGAAGTGTCTTGCCCAAGGACACAACAACTGAAAACAGCTAGACCGGGGATCGAACCGGTGACCTTCTGGTTCCAGGACGTCTCCTCTAACCACTCCACCACAGCCGCCCCTAATTATTACTGTACAGTATTACAATACCACTTTATTATTATTATTAATGTACAGTATTATACAGTCACTGGCCACATTATTAGGTCCACCTGTCCAACTGCTCATTAACGCAAAAGTGTAATCAGCCAATCACATGGCAGCAACTCAATGGGCCTCATGCAAGAACATGTTCGTATTCTTATCCTAAATTTCTCTTACTTTTGTTCGTACAAAGGGTTTGTAC